CAATGTCTAATCTAGGAATCGCTTCCACTCTGGACTATAGTTGTTTTTGAATGCGCCCGAGTGTTTCTTCTGCGTACATTCGAAGGCTATCTTCGGCAGGACTGTGGTCACCCCCTGCACAACGTGGCAGCTAGTTGATCTGTGCGCTTGTTTCAAGGTGGTTGCGAATTCTCAAGTCAAGTCAATATGAACTGAATCTATCCATGTTTGGTGAATTTTCCGATTTGTGCATGGCTACTGGTGCGGATCTCCTGAATGAAATTTACGTGGAACAATAGAAAAGATGTGAAATATTCAATTTTTTAATGAAATGAACGTGCGGACTAGTACTGTTCGGGTTGATAAGGACGGACAATAAGTAAAGAAGAGTGGGATTGCGATAACAATAACTATGGGAGTGAGAAACTTTGCAACTAGCTTATGTGATGGATTTGGACACGGTTGTGTAAGGTTCATTGTGTAGCGGATATGAGTACCTAAGGAACAAATTCCTTAGATGTATCAATATACATCGGGTAACCAACAATGATCATTTGAGGATGTCCATTGCATTATGATATATGCCTCCTAAATTTTGTTAGAACAATGAAATCCATCTCAATGAGACCTGAAAATTAACTGCTGGAGGCTGATGTATGCATTCATAAACTTACGCGGTACACAGACCTTTTTCAGTCTAAGGGAGAAAAATGATGATATTTGGACCTTACAAAAGTCCGTTGGGCGTGAGTGGACCTTGAGAGATCAGGAGTTGAAAAACATTTACATAATTGTGTAACTTGGTGTCTAGTGATCGTTATCAAGATGAAGGAAACGGGTCTTGGAGACCAACATTGTTTACCAGATTGTAATGAAAATCAATCAAACCCCGAATTTGGGAAGTGTTCGGAATAGGAACGGGATATGGATCACTTAAAACTATCATCAGGTTCCCGTTGGATTTCAGAAGAGCGGTTGGGACATAAAAGTTTAAATTAGTTACTACTTATATCTTATCAATGTTGAAGAACTCGAAGGTTCTCTGGCATTGGTGAGACCTATGACAGGTGCATTGCACCCTAGTTAATGATTAATTTACGGAGCAAATGAAACGGGAACTGAAGAGTAGGAAACATTTTAAACCCGTGTTCAACCCTGTTGGGTTTCATCATTAGACCAGATTCATCGATCCAGCTGAGGCTGTCTACTGTTCAGGTCAATGTAAGGAACAAAATTGAGCGGAACCGCTCGGTGATCCGAGTGAACATGTGTTCTGTTCTATTGCCGAATGATTTGCTCTAACCACACACAGGTATCTGACAAAAGAATATACACCCGGGGACTACTATTCACGTTCCGTTTAAAAGGCGACTGTAATGCCTGTATAGGTATGCATTTTAATTTGTACACGAAACCATCCATAGCTAATTTAGGTTTCGTACAAACAATACTTAATTGGCGAAATGTCGTTCGAGTGGGCCGATATCAGACTGTTATTGTCTATTGCTATTCTGTTCTGTTTTTCATTTATTGAATAGAGATGAGAAGCCAAAATTAGAAAACAGAACTTCAGACTGGTTCCAATGGAAACTGGATCTAACATTCAAATGATAGTACGTTCAGAGCAATGCGGAACGAGGTTAAGATTAACTCAGTGTCATTTAGGTTTGAATTTCGAAGGAACTTTAATCAAAAGACCAAAGAGGTAAAGAGGTCGGTATTCAACAGGGGTGTCTTTAATGTCTCAAGAGACACACTGGTTTCACTTAGTGCGCAATCAATTGTTGGTGATTCAAAGTTGAATAAATATCCTTAAATTTGAACAAGACCTCCCCTTATGAGGGTATCTAAAAGTCTTCTCAAGTTACAAATAATAATAATTTTCATAAACTGAACAGTGCCGCAGAGTACATTTTAAAGAGAATGTAGATTGGCGAATAAGCTCATTTTCAGTTATTCGTCATCATGTCGATACATCGCAATATGCATCACCAACGAGGGTGAAAATAGTCTTGGGGTATGAATGAGTCGTACCATAGACTGCTAGGACTGACTTCATTTTAAGCATAATGATATTGGCAACAACCACATAGATCATATGTAACTCATAGCTACTTGTGGTGAGGGATGAATTACACTGTTCTGAAATGGCCGTTCTTCAGACTTCTGTCGGAGTGTATGGTTGAATGGATGAACTGAGGATTACGCGTAAAAACGGAGCCTCGTTCGTTTATTATTTTAATACTGTATTACAAATCAATGGTGATACCAGCGGGGATATCAGGCGCGCATACGTCATCTTGAGAAATGCCATAAAAAGTTAACTGGCACCGCACTCTTTAAAGCTATAAACCAAATCGAGACTACAACATTTTGCAGTTGGGCGTCCTAAATCACAGGGTCTTTTTCGCTTTGAAAAGCGAAGCACACACAGAGAGAGAGAGAGACTTGGGACTCACCTCGAGAAACCGATCCCTGTTGTAATAGTGAATCCAATGTGGTATTATGTTCGGATTTTTGCTCATCGGAAATGATAGGTTTCTTGGTAATCTCTGACTCCTCAGACAGACGATCACGGTTCGGTTCGAGTTTAGGGGAATGAAAAATCATCTCGAGTTCATCCGACCCTGAAGACGATGATGAGGCTGAGGAGGAGGAGGATGACGAGGAATTAGAAGCAGTGCTGGTCGTTGCCGTTAATCGCCTCAGATGATTCTCTTCTCGTGGAACAGATTTCGCATCCGAGCGTATACTGTGTTTATTGAAATAATCGGATGGATCTTCATTCAATACTGAAGTCGAACGATTGCTGTCTGCCATCTGATGATGCACTGCCGAGCGAGTTTGATCATCGATTTGGGAACATGTGACTGATTGAATTCGCTCTGTTTTGGACACATGTTCCTCGGGATTTGTAACTCGCGCATTCGAATAGTATTCCATGGGATGTATATAGTTAGACATTGGGATGGGATGATGTGCGTGGGGATAGGGAACCGTAGATTTATACTGATCGGCAACTGTCGAGATTGAGTTCATGTCACCCGGTGAAAGCGCATGAAACGGTGAATCACACTCCGTTACGGACACCGGGTTCGTTGCCGTGGACGATGTATTCTCATGAGTAGTGGCTCGATTCCAGTACGAGCGAATTTGTTCATTGGTGGCAAGGTAGCAAGGTATCTTTGAATCAACCGAGCCTGTAAACAGGGTCGGTCCATTTTGGCGCATGTACTGTTCGGAATATGCCTGCAATTGTTGCAATGGATTGGAACCGATGCGAGGTACGTAGAATCCTGTGGGATTTGGTGTAATCGTTCCAGTCGGACAAAGTGGGACCTCGTACGGCACCGTTAGCATTCTGTGGCAAGCATAAAATTTACAATATTAGTTGTACAATCATTCCAATTTAATGTTTATGTGACTTGTTGGAAATTCTCTGGTGGCATAAAAAATTATTCTTCTCTGACTGTTATTTACTCTATTTTTCCTCAAAGCTCAGTGATTTTGGTGCTTCGAGGTTGAGTGAAGTAGCTTTATCCCTGAGAAAACTATCACACAACGGTCACAGGCACTGAAAATACTGTAACAAAGCACCTCGGGGGCGGGAGAGGGTCGTAAACTTGAGCCCGTTTAGTACTAGTAAGCTCTGCTTTTTTCATTGTTTTATTTTAGGGATGTGTATCTAATCAAGTAATTAATCGATTATTTTTCTTCGAAAATTGGCTGAGTGAATTCTAAAGCAGAGAAGCCATGGCCACAGCTCATTCCTTTGAAATCAAAAGTTAAATATGATGAAATGCAGTCCCTGAGTTCTTTGAACGGGTGAACTGGACTGAACTGACAAAAATTGAAAATATCAGATGGAATATGTATATTTTTATTTAGTTTGGTCTGTACTATTTACACTAAAAGGTATTTGGTTGAATTGTATCCACCAATTTGGTTAAAGATAATTCGAACACTCGCAGAGCACCATCGGTTCTCTCTCGCGCTTGTTGTGTTTATGACGATGATTGGGGTAGACGAGTCGCGTCGCCCGTGCTACTTACTTTATGGCACACTACATATACGATCCGCATACGCGTATGTTTATTTTCGAGCAACGTTTATCATAAAACGGTCAAATCAATGCTAGAACATGTCTCCGGGTTCTCGTAAGAGTCCTACAATGTTGAGTTATGTACTGAATGAGAGCGAACGAGGTTCATCACAAGACAATGATCGTGGTCGGGTTAGGGTGGAGAAAGACAAACTACTTTATGAGCAAACGTTTGAAAAAAGTAGACATTATCGGGAGCAATATTGCATTTGGTAGTAGCTTACAAATCGTAACCCAAAGTAAACTAACGAGTCACCTGCGTGTAAAGTGAAAGAGATAGACTATAACTTAACAATCGGTGGTGGTTACTGATTCCACGTATACGAAAAAGACCGGTTTTTGCAAACAAATAGTTAGTTATGCCGTTACCGTCAATGACGATAACAAATCAACTTAGGTAAACAGATAGAACAAAACACTGTCACTGAATGATAGCAAACCATTTCGTCTCGGTTGAGACAATTTGATCTTGTCTCAAAATCTAAACTATAGAGCCGTGTAACATGGTGGGAAGATCAATTCACATTATACGACAACAACAATAAAAGGTCTATTCGTACTCACCTGAACAGCGAAGTTGCACCGGTCAATTGAACGGTTTGAGTCGATGGCTTGGATAGAATGAATTGGAATATTTCTCAATCAACTATCGGTACTACAACCGGCAGAAGATTGACGTTTTGTTGTTNTGTTGTTGTGGTGGTGGTGGTGGTGGTGGTGGTGGTATCCGCGTGGAGGAAATGAATCGGATCAGGCACCCAGTGTACTGCTACACAACACGGACATACGATACACATGTACGTACATACACAGAGAGAGGAGAATACACTGGACAAGAACACGCGAATTGTTGCCACCTATGTTGTCGAGATAATGGGACCGGTGATAATCGATGCTACGACCCGTGTGTTAGTGTCTGTGTGTTTAGAGCCATCTATTAGGCTGTTCGAAATGACCCATTAAAGTGGCCAGATTGTTGTTGTTGTTGTTCTCTTCGCTCCCACCTTCTCGTTCTCTGCC